TATACATTTGCCTTGCTTTAGTTCAATCAAAGGTAACTTATCTATTTTATTGTAAACTATTTTCCCTATTCTATTTAGTATGCTCTCTTTCTGAGCATATGGCTCAGAGGTTGGCTTAATAGACCCCAAATGGTATTTCTTACTGACAAAACACTTTAGCATTTTGACCATAAGGTAGAACAAACTATGCCATAAGGAACTAATAAAGTTCATTCACCCTCATGCTACTGTATTTAATCACAGAAATTGATCTCTATACTTCATGAAACCAGTGTCTGCTTTTAATCATAGGGTGGTTAAACTACTTACCACAAAAGAGTAATAAATCTTGAATCCAGGTTTAGACACGAAGTAGTCATCGGACTTGAATGTTATTTTAATTTGGTTTGTTCTCGATGTGATCCTTGGAAGAACTTCCTTGTGTCCACACCACCATCCTCTAATAACAGTACTGGTTTCAGATATGTCTTCGACTTCCACAAAATCATACCTAGAATCAGTTTGACATAATGAACATGTTTTGATTAAAGTAGATTTTGAAACTCATACTTTCACTGAGAAATTAAACCTAGCACGTATTTCTCATGACTACCATCTGAAATGAAAATTATATCCTACAGAAATGTTAAATGGAAAGCTAGTTTTTGGATCAGGTTTTCTAACTTCAGATTTTAATAATCTATTCTGAGAAAACCCTTGCATGCACTTAGCTGTAACTGTTGCCAAGTTATCGATAATCAAAATGGGCTACTTTTTGGAACATCTGGTTCAGAAAGTTTTCTTGGAAAAACTAATAACTGTGATCTATTAGTGTATATTAGGAGATAGAGCTCTGACTATATAGCCAAATATTAACTGTATGAAGTTTTTCAAATAAGTTCCCACTTTGAATTAATTTATAACACATAGTGACATTTCTAGAGAGTTTAAGTGATCTATATCTAATATATCTAAATAGCTTACAGAATGAATGTTTTCATTATAGAAAATAAATAAATGGGTACACACATGATTTGCTATATTCTATTTTTGAAAACTCTATTGGAAAGATCATATCATAAAATATAAAATTTATCATATAACTTCCAGGAGAGATGTGTGCTAACCAATTATGGAACATCTGAGCTGATTAAACCAGGATATGAGAAGAGGTTAAGATTTATGTTCACATCTGGCCTTGGTCAGAGAAAGACAGACTCTCAGGTTGAAAAAACAGGAAGGCCAGCCTCTTACATTATTCCTGAAGGCTGGCCTCTTATAGGAAGGCTGGCCAGAAAGGCTGGTCTGTTACAGGAAGGCTGGACTCTAACAGGAAGGCTGACCTCTAACATTATTCCTGAAGGCCAGCCTCTTATACAAAAGCTGGCCTCTTACATTATTCCTGAGGGCCAGCCTCTTACATTATTCCTGAAGGACGGCCTCTTACAGGAAGGCCAACCTCTTACATTATTCCTGAGGGCCAGCCTCTTACATTACTCCTGAGGGCCAGCCTCTAACATTATTCCTGAAGGCCAGCCTCTTACAGGAAGGCTGGCCAGGAAGGCCAGCCTCTAACATCATTACTGAAGGCCAGCCTCTTACAGGAAGGCTGGCCTATAACAGGAATGCTGGCCTCTAACATTATTCCTGAAGGCCAGCCTCTTACAGGAAAGCTGGCCTCTTACATTATTCCTGAGGGCCAGCCTCTTACAGGAAGGCCAGCTTCTTTCATTATTCCTGAGGACCAGTCTCTTACATTATTCCTAAAGGCTGGCCTTGTACGGGAAGGCCGGCCTCTTACATTATTCCTGAGGGCCAGCCTCTTACATTATTCTCTGTGACCATTTGATCACTGAAGTCCCTCCCTAGCATCCCATCACTTCATCACATAGCAAGGCACCCTTGGTAGCAGAGTGAACATCTTCTAGAGATCACTTTTTCTGTTTCCAGACCCTTATGATCTTGGGCCATTCTACAGGATGAGCTGAGCTCTCTGCCTTTCTGTTATGGTCATCTGTGTCTCACTTCTTCACTCTGTCTTTCCCCAAATGACTTCAGATGCTAAAGTTTTAACACACAAGTGATGGGCATTCAGGGTGAACAGTGGCAGAAGCCCCACATCTGTACTGGGGGTTTCTGATCCCCAACTCTGCCGTGGTTACCAGAAGGAATCAGCAAAAGAAATACCAGGTCTAAACACAAAGTAAAACCATTGTGGCTTTCCTGGTCTCACCCATGCACCTCAGAGCTCTTAGTGGATCAGGCAGGGTAACCAAGTAACACATGATGAAAAGGTGACTTACCAGGCCCTGATGTGCTTTGCCTCAGTTTCCTTATAGGCAAAATAAGGTTTATTATAATTTTATGAGCTGGGTACCTCTTAGGTGTTGTGTAAATTA